AAAATGGCTTATAGTCAGCGACGAATATTGTCTAGATAACAATAATATGAAAATGAAAATAATAATATCAAGGAAGAAAAATAAAACAAAGAGAGAGAGAGAGAGAGACAGAGAAATGCAATTTCCATTTTTGTGAGCCAAACAACTACAATAACAATGGCGGAATATGTGTTATTGCTTATGACGCGGCTTAACTGGATTTTAAGATTTATATATGCAGATCTTTTGTCTCTTTGGTATTTTATGCTTTACCAGATATGATGCCGACTACCGATTGCAGTATCGCTCGTTCTCCGCACATAACATAATGGTTTTAGATATGGTGTAAGGCATTCTTCTAAAAAAATATTTAAATTATTATTTAACACAACAAAAATAAAAAAGAACAAAAAAAACGAAAAAAAAGGTTTCACGAAAAACTTATTCAGAATTGAAGGTTTGAATAAGGAAATAAGAGAGAGATGAAAATGTTCATGTTGATGGAGTTTTATAACACAATGCTTCAGTTGCGTTTAATTAGTTTTTATCTTTCTACGAAACGATTTTAAAACTTTTTAAAGCTTTATTACGGAAAAATTTCATTTCATCCATCATTCATTCATCAAGACAAAAAAAGAAAAAGGAGTAAAGAAGGAGTTAACAAGCAGATCTTTCCGAAAATTCTCTCACTTTTCTTTGTTTTCTTCTTTTTTTTTTTATTCGCAAAGAGTGCTACATGTTATATAAAAAATTGTCGATCTATATATACTCGCTTTTACATCTTACAATAGCTGCAATTCTCTTAATAACATCTATATTGACCTTTCAATATGTCGTAGAAACGTGCAATAAATGCGACACAACACCCGCAGAATATCAAAACAAAACAAAAAGTAATTTTTGGTGTTTTAAGTCGACAGTAGTCAAGGTGTCACATTAACACATCAGATTTAGAACAAATAAAGCGGGGGTTGATAGTTCAATTTTACGTTTTATTCAGTATAGATGTCTATCGTGGAAAGCAAAAATAAAAACAAGTAAGCAAATTACATTCGGTCGTGATCGAATCTTTCACACCCATCAACGTCAATTAAAAAAAAAAAAAAAAAAAAAAAAAGACAAGTATTAAATTTTCATACTCTATAATTTTGACTGAGCGAGGCTGATTTTTTCTTATTTTCAAAATAAAAGTTTTAGTCGCATAGACGTGCGGACGTTTTAGGTGAGTCCTCGGAAAAGCTTAATTCACTTTCAAATTTCTTTTGCAAATTTCTAGGTGAATGTAGGCGAGAAAATGTTTACCATAAATACAACGCAGTTGCGCAGACAGACAAATGGACCAACGAGCAGACGGACATGTTTAGGAGTATTGCAAAGTTGAAATTGGCCAGGAATTTATATACTTCATGGTGTTAGTGAAGTTTGTTTTTGCGCATTATAAAAGTATTAAAAAAAAAATTGAAATTTTGATACACCATAATAATATTGGATAGGATTGGTCCCAGTTTTCATTTTTGTGCAGGGCAATGTGTGTTCAAATTTTTGTACATTTTTCTGCCTTCCTTTAGGAGCTATGAGCAAAAAACCGATTGTTTTATTATTTTTGAAAAACAGAAGTCTTCTCAGCCTACGTAATGTTGTGGGCGTGTTCTTCGCTCATTTTCAATACCAACCTGCGTGCAAGAACTACTAATGTTTCTGCCTTATTTTGAGTTGATAACTTCATTTTTATGGCCAGCAAAATGTTTGCAAAAGACATTGCACAGACGGACAAACGAACAGACTTACAGACGGACACACACAAACATGCTTAAATCGATTTAGAATTTGATGCTGATCGAGAATATATTATATACACTTTGTTGAATCTCTGACCCTTCCTTTCCTGGGCGTTGCAAACGTATTGGCAAAATGAATATACCCTCAATCGTTCGGTGTTGGGTATAAAAACAACGAAGCGGTTATTAATCCTTAGGCGAATTGAGAAATTTTCCTTTTTAAGAAGTGGGTGTATAAAGGTCTGCGCAATGTTAACAACACCAAATATCGTTAATTTGTATGTTTTAAGACTTGCGATGCAAAAGCAATGCAAACTAGAAAAACCAACGAGACGCAAGCTTTAGCTTGGGAAGAAAACGTGGAGAAAATATATTTTATGTTTTCGAATGTTAAAGTTAATATGTAATTGAGAATTTATTAGCCACCAGAGACTCATTTACATGTTATATATGTGTGCATGTATGCATGTGCATGTACATTTTTTTTGCTTTATATACATATAACAGTACATAATTTTATTAGTCTATGCTATGTGTATGCTTATGTATAAAATATCAATATTTATGTATATTTATATTAGTCCATTGTGTGTATTGTGTGTGTGTTTGGGTTTTACTAATAAAAGTTTTGAATTAATGTTTTGCATTGTGTATTCGTTCGTTGTAATGCAATAGTTTATAGTTGTTGTAAGGTTTTAATGTTTGTTTGTTGCAGGAAGTTGCTCATAGGTTAAGTATAAAACAAAATTTTTTCCTTATTTCATTATATAATACGCAAAGTAATTACCAGAGAAATTAGTAATTTATTGTTTATGGTGTCGATGATATATGAGTGAGTCCATTTTGTAGATCTGGTATAAAGATTTAACTTTTAACTAAGAGTGCAAAACATTATATAATGCATTAAATAAAACAAATATATCTTTAATTAATGCCAATTTTAATATATTGCTTTATAAATGCATTACAATTTATATTCGAAATATATTTTGTCCCGCCCCCCTGGGAGTTATACTGAATTATGTGTATTATACGGTATAAAAAATGAATTAGGCTGATATCTCTCTAACATTAGTTTAAATTTTAAAACCATAATTTGTGTGCTTTTCATAACTTCCCTTAGATGAGAACCATTGGTGATACCATAGGCATTAACTTTCATCACATAAAATTCAATTCCTGGAGGGTATAATAAACATGCCGGCATGTGGTGTCTGCCACATAGTTAATATGGAGGAAATGTCAAAAACACTTCTACCGGCTGATTATTAGCTATTTGGTAAAACAACGGAAATGGCACAAAGAAAGGGGTGACATCAAGTCGATAGAAATAAATTTAATAATACATCGAATTGTTGGCAATATTTGTCACTCATGAATAAATTCATTCAAATTATTTGCAAATGATGTTAAAATTTTATATAATCCATTAATCGATCATCAAGATTTAGTTATAATAAACATATTGGAAAGGAAATAAGAAAAGCATTTTTGACTGTTAGGCTAGTAACCTGATCTGAGATCTTTTCAGATAATTTTCAAACCTTTTTTTTCTTAGTTTCATCCATTACATATGTTAGGACGCCACTAACATTTTGACCCTTGGGAACGTTAAGTAATTTGTCAGTTTTTTTTTTGAAATTTCCATTGGAAAGTTTCACATTATTGATAGTAATCCTCGGGAGGACGTCTTGCCATTCTAGTCTGGTTTGTCTTGTCTACCGTGACTTGAAAATTGTGTCTCAGGCGAAAAAGTGAAACTTTTGTGCGAGACCTTATTACGACTTTCGATATGGGTTATGAAGACAATTCACTTTTAGCAATGAGGTCGTGTTGTTTTTATTATTGCGAAACGCTGGTATAACGAGTTATATCGTGGCCGCCCTTCGCTTGTCACTGAAAGTTGTGAAGACCCCTTCAAAATTGGTTATTATGCAAGGATACATTGATGCTCCGCAAAAACTAATAGTACAAGATCTATATGCAACGTAATGTAAGATTTGAGTAACCGTAGGCATTATTTTCATCAGCATATATAAAATATTTCGTGGCCGTTTAGGTTTTCCCTTTGAGAAAACTGCAAAAAGATGTCTTTGCCGATTAATGGAAGGAAATGCTTAAGAACTACAAGGGCGGTGCCGGAAAGTAAACAGTACTCGATCGTAAGGACGTCCAAGATGAACCAAATCGAAACCAAAACTTGTTCACTCCCAAAACACTCTCAAACTAATGGTCGCCCGTCTTTTTCGAAAAAGCTGTGTCGTCGTATCTTTAAAGGCACGTAAAACGATCAATTGTGCATAGCAAACAATCATTCCTTCACCGATGAAAAATGAAATAAGAAAAATAGATAAAAATCGTCGGATTATTCTTCATATCCGACTATTTAAGTACTAAAAAAATTGAAATAATTGGCCATCCGTCGTGCAGTGCTCATTTGATATGCGTAATGATACCTAATGACTTCTTTTTGTAACCATAACTCAAGAATAAATTGCGTGGATAAGGATTTCCGTAGGCAGAAGAGGATATAATTGTTCTTCCATTGCTAAGCTTAATATCAATAGTACCGTACGTGTATATCCTGTTGTTCCACTAGAAAGCTAAGCAGTGACTAATTTATACTTTCTAGTTAAAATTATCTTTTTCGTGAATTTAGACATGCCGTCATGAAATTAATATATTTTGCAAGTAGTTTTGCCTTCGCAGAAAATTAAAATTGTAAACATAAATCGTATTTTCGGAAAGAAAAAGAATTAAAATGTATATGATAATTTCGGACAAAAACAATCGGCATCTAAGCCACATTTTTAGAGGGACACGTGTGTTTTTAATTTGTGTTTTACTTAAACGAATACCTGCAAAGAGAAGCAAAAGATTGTTAGCAAGACTCCTGAATTATTCTATAATGATAAGTGAGAGAAAATACTCGAATTATTTTTCAAGGAAATTCAAATATTATTTTTCGAAACCTAACCTTTGCTGTAGAACCTGTAGAACAGATGAACAAATTTTCACAAGCATCTCTTAAAGCCATCTTTATACCTTTAAGCGTGTTTTATAGAAAGCGAGACATGTGTGATGTCTCCCAACATTTGCGGCAAGACGATATCAATTTCGATCGATTCCGGACGCCTTACGGCTATGTCTTTCTTTAACCGCATTACTTATTTATAGTGGTGATCAGGTTGCCGAATTATACACGCTGCTCTCCGGCTCGATAGAGTTATGCGTGTCTAATACCATCGGTAACATCGAAACATTCTGAATATTTGAGGTTGATTCTAGGTAGGTACCTATCGATGATCCAAGGAAATTCGGATTAATTGCAGGCATTGGTGAAAACAATGCCATTGCGGTTGGTGCCGCAGCCCCAGCTACAAAATGGGTATAAATAGAGGCAGCTTGCAGAACAAGTTTGTACAGTTGCTGAGAATAAAATCCTGGGGTTTGGTCTTTGATGTTCTCGGCAGTTGCTAGTTCATTCTTATAAACAAAAACTATAGAACGTTTACGGTGTTCACGTGCATTCTGCTTAAATGAATTATCTGCGTACGACACGTGTTTGTATAGCCTTTGTCCATAGGCTGGCAAGCACTGCTGGCAGTTGCGTGAAGATAAAGAAAACATCGGGCAAGGATGAGCTGAGGACGTTAGCGAGTGCTTCTCTATGTGAAGATTTGTATAGTTACAGGATCGCATAATGTCTACGAATTTCCACAGATTGTGGAGACTAGCTTTGTCAACCTCAGTGGATTGTCGCATTTTGTTCCTTTTATCGGCAAATCGAATTTATACTCTATGATTACTCTGTCTTTCGCGGAGGGGAAAGTGATTCACTGCAGTGCAGTGCGAACCCATCATTGCATGAAATCTTTTGAAAAATTGAAACTTTGAGGATTTCTGAATTTATTATAGTCTTTTTGATTGTGTTAAGCAGACTGCAACATTCTTTAAACACTACACACACATCTCATGTACACGGGTCAACAATATATTAAGCCTTTTTTGTTTTTTAAGCTATGCCGGAGTAATGGCCTGGAGTCGATGGAGGGGCGAGTGACCTTGGCTAAGTCAATCGAAAGTTTCAAGTTAATCTTGGTCGTTCGAAAAAACGCTCTTTCTGCAGCCATTGCAATAAGTTTAAATTGTGCAATAGTTGTGAAAGCTTAATTTAATAGTAAAATTTTACTTATGAAAATATTCGCTTTTGTTGCATAATAAATTGTTAATATTATGAAGCAATCGTTTGCCTTGCGGGCATTTTACTTATTTTGATATGTTTCCATTACATTTTTTCAAAAGATGTTTCGCATGCTTTACAAATACAAACATAATCATCCGGATATTTGAGAACTTTTCTACCGATTGCCTATAAGCGTGTGTGTGTGCGCGCATATATGTATTCATATCCTTATTACGTAGCGTAGCGCTGGTTTGTTGACATTTTTATAAGGACAATATGAATGTTGTGTTTGTCGCTGTTGAGCACATAACAGCCCTTATCATGTTGTGTTTTACTTTTTATTTTTTTCATTTATTTGATCCTTACTTGCTGTTGCTGTTCCTTTCGTTTATGCGTATGTATGCATGTGAATGGTGTTATTTTTTACGCGTTTTATGTTTTTTATTATTATTTCATTTTGTTTATTATTTTACGCACTTTATTTTAAATTAAGTGCTTCTACAGTAAACACAGACATTCATAAGTTATTTCTGTTGGGGATGTTTTGCTGAGCTTCTGCATAAACAAGCACACAACGCTATTGTGCGAAAGCGATAGGTATGTGTTTGTGTGTGTGTGTGTGTGTGTGTGCATTTATTTCACCGTTGTTGTTAAGCGTAATGTCCTGCTGTAATAATTTGCCATTTAATATGTATATGAATTCACATTGTTTGTGATTGCGCAGCACCACAGGAAGAAATCACTTTGACACAATGTCAATGGTAAGTTAACAGGCCTCATTGACAGGCATTCCGTTTTCTCGGTTTATGGCTTCACATGTAACTATGTATGAACGATTATATAAGCGATTATATAAGATAACCTAAAAAATATTGAGCCTAGTAACCTAGAGAGAGAACGAAAGGATGAGAGAACGAGAAAGGTAAATAGATTTTTGTTTACACGACATGGTTCGATATAAAGCCACACGAATGCGGAATCTGAATCTCTAATCGCAGGCGCGGTCGGTGGAGGTAGCATGATATTATGAGGTTCAAGAATCCATCTCAAGGTTATGCGAAAGCGATTCCCGTACGGATTTGGCTGCTAGTTGCCAATGCGCTATTACTACGTGTATTAAAAAAAAATGGGAGAGATAGATAGGTGGATCGATAGATAGATAGATAGATAGAGAGAGACAGAGAGAGAGAGAGAGAGAGAGAGAGAGAGAGAGAGAGAGAGAGAGAGACAAAAGGGCATTAATTGATATAGTTAAGAATCGTGACTATCAAATCAGTGTGCGCGAGTCCGAATCGCAAGAGCGATAGAGTTTGGTTTCATCCTAGCTAAAGTGAGCGTCCAATCGGCATAACACTGCGTGCCAATTAGACACACAGTCCTCGCTACGCTACATCACCTGAATGATGGTTCGTTTAAAAGCAAAACATGAAGTAATTGAATGAAATCAATATAGGAATTTTTACTTTTTCGCTAAAAGCTCAATACTTCCTAGATTATCTAATTTGAATAAGAAAGTTTTGTACATTCAAAGAAGACTTTTCCCAGTGTCTGAACGCTAGAATAATCGAAAAACTTGAAAGATATTCAGTATTCTCTTTTTCTTCCTTCCGTTCTGCATTCTTTTCACACACACACACACACAAACAATGAAAGTATTTAATAAATAATAATGAGACAAGTACCAACTGTCAGTTCGACATAACAAGTGTGAAATTATGGTAAAGGAGGGTGTGATAGTAAAATCTTTTGAAAATAGAAGGACTCTGGAGATATCTAACAAAAAAGCGATTTAAACAATTATTTTTTTTCTTCTTTCCTTGTATTTAACAAAAAAAAAAAAAAGAAACGAACCGGCTGTTGTGCAGACACCTTCAAGTCCCCAGAGTATTAAGAACGAAAAAAAAAAAAAACAAAAAACACCAGTTTATAAAATACAATACAATATAATGTTTTTATTAAAGAATTTCTCACATTTCTATTTATTTACTTTATATTAATCAAAGAAATGTTAAACTTTTTTGTATTGATTTAAGACACGCGTTAAAGCTCATGTTTTTCATGTTTAATACATTTTTGGAAAACATTCGCATTGAAAAGACTTCTTCCTCCTACTTAATGTCCGACAACATATACGTCAGTCTGTCTAGTTCTCACCGAGTATGAAAAATAACACCCAAATAGTAAATGACTCAGATTTAATCCTTTTTTTTTTTTTTTGTCGTGTTGTTGTTTCTGATATGACGATGATGATGATGATGATGATCTCTGGCACATGTCGTAAAATGAAACCCCGTTCCCTGTTCACGTTTAAGTAAATAGACTAATATGAAAAACAAAAATCTCATATACCACGGAAACGGAAAAATTTGTGTTAAAAATCAATCCATCGCTTATATGTCGCAGGTAAAGTAAGAATGAAAGGAGAACATTTATCATTCGATGATGGTTAAGGTCACCCCGTTAACTTTAGGCATGTATACATACATGGTCGTCGCAAGTCATGTTCTAGAGATTAACTCCACTATTGCCTGAACATTTTGTGTTAATATGATCGTTTGAATTATTAGTCACGAAGCTTTCCGACAACATAATTCACATCTTATAAATCCCATCGCTGCCGATAACAGCACTTTAATTTTACTTTAATTTTTAAGACGCGTGCTGCATTATGTTTTCTGTGATCCATAAACATGTTATTATTAGATCGCTATCTGCTGCGTGGCTTTTAAATGAAGCGGTTTTATGCACGAGATTATTGTGTAACAGTATTTTAAGAGAACATTTTTTAGTTTTTACAGTTCATTTGAGGTTTTCATTGGGATTTAAAGAATTTTAGTTTAAATTTAATGCTCCAGGAAGCCAGTGCTTTGCCTAAGAGAAGCCTTGTAAACACATTTCCATTTGTAGTTAAGTTAAAGGTAGAACGCGACGGTCGAGTACGGTGCTATTCAACACGTTGAAGTACATAAGAAAGTAGAAAAGTAAAAAAATGAGTGAAGAAATGCTGGCAAGAACGTCGCTGACTTGGTCACATTTCGGGAATGTTGAAAAATACAAATTTAGTAAACTACCGCGGCATATATAACTTTCTTGATGCCTTAGTATCGAAGCTGAAGAAAACGATTAAGGGGCACTATGCGGTAAAGCATTGACTTTAAGGATTTGAAATTAAAATTTATGCTGGTGTTAAGAAAAAATTAAGCCACCAAGTCGTGGTGTCCACCAGAGTCAATGTAAATTAAAGAATATTCAGTCACTGCTAACTTTGTGTGGGCATGGCCGATTTTTTTCATTTTTGTACACAAACGGTAGAGGTTTTCGTAAAGAAAATCTGAAACATTTCAGCCTTCTATCTCTATTGCTGTTTGTGAGTAACGAGCAATACCTTACAAATTTTTGTTTAGAAGGACGCGGTTCCGACCTATTTGGCCCAAACTGCGTGCAAAAACTTCCAATGTTTACACAAAATTGTAAAGTTGATATCTTTTATTTTTACGGTCAAGAGAGTGCCAACAGCACATACTACACTGACGGACAGACATGAGTTAATCAAGTCAGAAGTTCATGTTGTTCAAGAATCTTATAGGAGCTTTATAGTGTATGAGAAGCGTCTTTTTGGATGTTGCAAACATTACAACAGATTATTATATCCCTCATCCTTCAGTGGTAGGTATAAACAATTCAAATAATTTTTCTCGAGAGTTACGCGTTTACGTGGTACAAGGATCGCCAAATTTTCTGCAGCACTTCTTCATGAATGCGATTTGCGTGTGTCCGCAACTGTTTCCATAGATATATTAAATATTAATCTAGAATCGATCGCAAAGCCTATATCTTTAAATGTGGAAATATTACCCAGAATATAAACTCGACTATCAAAAAGAAGTGCCCAAAGACTCATCAAAACCATTTTGCATTGTTGAAAAATTTTTTAGGTTTATGGCATTGCTATCTTCATTCTAGAACTTGAACGAAAATATATTTTCCTATACCAGATATATTTATATTAATTTTACTTCTGCTGCCCATATGCGATTCTCGTCTTATTTTGGAATCAAATATCTGGCCTTATTGCACTATTAAAATTCTTTGTCACGAGCCATGCAGAATTCTTTCTCGTTTAGTTTCTTTGAAAGGGCTTGAAAGAGAGCATAAAACAATCTAAGACTGATCGAATCTGCGAGACTCTCCCTAAAAAGGTCCGCTAAACTCGATAATGAAGACCAAACAAAAATTTGACTTTTCGATATTAAGAACAAATCTCAGCTGCTAGAGCTCATCCTACTAGAATTTATTTACTTTGTCTAGAAATCATATAACAATGATAGCAAATAAATCTTCTAGCGAATCATTATACATTAAACAAGCCACGTAATGGACCCAATTTAGACTGGCCTCACAGCACAGCACAGTAAATAAAAACAAAAACATAAATTAATCATTTCTTTGCGTAAGCGTATGATTTATGATTTATACTCGTTCATGATGAAGGAAACGTTAACTTCTAATCATTGTAATGCTTGATGAAATATATAAAACAATTAACTAACCTGTCAGACAACCAACCATTGGTATCATT